ATAAATAAAATAAAGGCAACTTTCATGAGTTTTATATTGTTTAGTAATTTGTACATTTTGCTTTTAACAAGAAAATTTGAATGATATACAGGAAAATTAACCTCTTTCACTAAGAAGATATGGCAGTAGAATTTTGACTGGTTATCAGTATTGTCAGATTTTTCCAACTAGAGTCAAAAGTACAAATTATTATATATGCAAAGTATCAATCAAGATTGTGATGTTTTAACATAATTTCAGATTATTAAGATATATGAATAATTTGATAGGTGCTATTTATATGTGGAAATATATGACTAAATCTATTTCACTACTTCTTCACAGATATGTTTGAAGGGTAAAGTACATATATTTAAGTACTTAAATATCCAAGCATGTTGTAGAATGGATAAGAAACCAGATTCTCTGGATCTTCCATCACTGAGCAAAAGAATGCCCTCTCAGCCTCTCACAGACAGGTAAAGTAATACTCTTACACTCTCTTTTGTTGATAATTGTTGTACTCTCTTTCTATGAAAGATATTTATTAATCTCAAGTATACAGTCAATATATTTAGGCTGATTGCGCCAGTGTTAAAATCGGTATTGACTGAAACTTAATATCACTGTCATAAAATGAACTTGTGAGTTAGTAGAATAAATTTTAGATTTTCTCAGATAATTATTTTAATAGTAAAAATGTAAACACAACATTACAATTCAGAAATATTGATTTCTCAGCTACAATAACTGCTAATTTACTTCAGTGGTCTCAGAAGTCTACATTTGTAATAGAAAGTAGAATTTGACTTTGAATTGAGGTTGGTAGAAGAACAGGACATTCCAGAAATACCTGTCTTCCTTTTGTCACATCACTACCCTTGCCCTTCCACCAAGATTGAACCTAGGGTTTTGAATTAGGTATTCTACCAATGAACTATATCCCCAATCCCTTCTCATATTCTTTATGATTGGATCAAAAATGATATATCAGAGCCGGGGATTTAGCTCAGTGGTTCCATCGCCTGCCTTGCAAGTGCAAGGTCCCGAGTTTGATCTCTGGTACCAAAAACAAACAAACAAACAAACAAAAAGATGTATCAGTGATGTTTTTCTTAGTCATTTTCTTGTCATTGGGACATAATACTTGGCACCCAGAATTTAAAATAGGCTTATTTTATTTCACATTTTCAGCCCATGGTCACCTGGCTCCATGGCAGAAATGGTGTGGTGAAAGAGCCAGGCAGGGGAAAGCTGCTCACATCATTGATGCCAGGAAGTAGAGAAGAGGGGAGGAGCTCAGGAGGGAGCTGTGTCCTTCCAGGTTATACCTCTAGTGACACACCTTGAACCAGGCTCTCTCCTAACGGTGTACTCAGCCATGAATTCATCAGTGGACTGAGGAGTATACGGCCCCCTGATCCAATCACCTTCCAAACACATGAGGCTTTAGGGGGTCATCCCAGATCTAAATGTTAAACAGTGTTCTGCATGATTTTGGTGTTTTCCTCATGGTGATTTTGTTTTGTTTTGTTTTGATTTTGAGTTTTTGAGACAGGGTCTCATTATGTAGTTGAGACTGACCTGGAACTCACTGTGTAGCCCAGGCTGGTCTCGAACTCACAGCGATCCTCCTGACTCAGCTTCCCGAGTGCTGGGATTACAGACATGTGCCACCATGCCTGGCCTCATTAGGTTTTGAAATGGTAGATTCAATATTGTTTCTAATCCAGCCTTTCAAGATGTATATTGGTCTGAAAGACTTAATGAAAGTATAATTCTGTGCTGATATATGGAAATAACTTGGAATGAAGTCAGACTACACAATGGAAGAATACACACCTACCTAAAATGTTTCAAGGTTTGTCATTGCATATCTGCTGTAAATTACTCTGAATTGCAGTATAGTAAGTACTATTCTGTTACTTAATATTAATAGTTAAGAACTATCATCACCTTGCTATACATAAGGCCTGTAGTGCATATGTATTTTTTAAGTACTAAAGAAGGTATTCTGTTAACAGTACAAGTTCTTGAATTCCCAAATGGAAATTTTTTCTTGAATATTTCTCTTGTTTGAGTAGAATTAATAATTAAACATTGATTTAGTTCCCAAAGATTATTTTGTTAATATTATGAATAGTAGTAGACCAAGAATTTCTATGAAAATTAGAATTAATGCTTATTCTAATCTCTTAATTTTATTTATATTTATTTTGAAGTAAATTTGCTTTAGTAATGGCATTCCTTGTTTCACAAATATCTGTTGAATGCCTGCTGGTATATTCATGGTGTGTTTTGTTGAATGCTGGGTATGTATGTATAGTTTAGGGTTAAAACGCACTTTAGTCTTGATGCTGGGGTGAGGGGAGACTGATTTAGGCCATTTTGTGCTTCTAGAACCGAGTACCTGGGATGGTGATTTAGAAACAATAGTTTATTTGGCTCATGGTTCTGGATGCTGGGAAGTTCAAGACACTACTGCTACTTACTGTTTTATTGTGTAGATCTTATTGTTGTATCACAGTGTGAGAGAACTCATTACATGGGCAAGAGAAAGAAAGAGGTTAAGAGAGGCTGAATGCTCCTACAACAAATTTACTCCCAGGATAGTGAACCCACTCCTGCAGTGACAACATTAATATATTCATTAGGGCAGATCTCTTATGATCTAAATAACCTCCCATTAGGGCCCACCTCCCCACATTTTGCATGAGGAATTAAGTTTCCAACACATGAACTTTGGGAACACATTCAAACCATAGCACGCACACACACTTGTATATGTGGGCTTCAGCTTATAATGGCTCAGCTTAGCAGTGCTGCACTTTATGATGGTGCTTATATGATAGTCATTCAGTAGAAACTATCTTGTGTATGTGGTATGTGCTATTGTTCGTATTCACTTTCATGCCCCCACCCCCGGCAGCAGCAGAGATCTACAGCTCCCAGTCAGCCACTTGGTAACAAGGATGAACAATAAGTACTGTACAGTGAACTGCATTGTGTTGCTAAGCTATGATTCTTTGGTAGATTAGATGTGTTAAATAAAGTTTTGACTTACAATATTTGCAAGTTGAAAGGACTTTAGTGTGTTCAAAGATGGGCAGCATAATTGGAGTAGACTGACTGAAGGGTGTATTGGAACAAGTTGCCTTTAGAGAGGTAGTTAGAGCTTAGGTCAGGTGGGGGCTTTGTGGTCTGGTCAAAAATTAAAAAAAATTTTTTTGAGGCAGAGTCTTGCTATACAGTCCAGGCTAATCTTGAACTCATTGCAATCCTCTTGCCTCAGCCTCCCAAGTGCTGGGATTGCAAACATGCATCACCATGCCTGGCCAGAAGTTTGAATTTTATTTAAAATGCAATGGGAAATTATTGGACAGTTTTAAGCAGAAGAATAGCATAACCTGATTTATGGTAAACTATCTGACTTTTAGGAGAATATGTTGGAAATAAACAAAAGTAGAAGCACAGGGATCAGTTAGGTCATTGTAGTACTTCCCAGAGAGCATGTGGTCTTAAACAGGGTGATTGTAGTAGAGAAGAAAAATAGAAAGAATTAAAATATGTATTGGAGATAATTACTAGCAGTAGTATTAGAATTGTAATTTGAACTAAATATAATTTTTATTTTTATAGTAGCCTATTTTAAAGAAAGTAAAAAGAACAGTAAATTGATTTTAATAATACATGCTATTTAACTCAGTATATCAAGATACTATTATTTTAACATGCAGTTGATACAAAAATCAATGAGATATTTTCCATGCTTTTTGGAGTACTGAATCTTTGAAATCTGATGTGTTTTATATTAATCATGTTTCAGTTTGAACTATCTTCGTTTCAAGTATTAAATAGCCATATGTGGCTAGTAGCTACCTCGTGTACAGTACAGATGTGCAGAGTTGTTTGTTGGGTATGACAATACATTTATGGCTTGTATTAAACTACTTAGAAAATTCTTGTATGTGCTTTCTACTTTCATACTCAGGCCCTTGGATGTATGAATCTTACTGCCTAGAATGCCCTCCCATACCTTGTCTATTTTGTAAACGTCTTGTGCGTTCAGCAGAGTGCTGCTTATTTGATAGATGCTTCATATATATATTTATTCCTGAAATATAAAAATAAGTTTTTCAGCATGAAACTGTATTTAGGGGAAGAATTACAGGACAGTGATTAAGATCCAGGACTTTAGTACTAGGTAATCTGGGTATCACATTTACAGTGCTTGTTGCAAGTTGTGTGTCCTTGAGCAAATTGCTTCATCTTTCCTACCCTCAGTTTCTTCACTTTAAAATGAGAAAACACCACCATCTGCTAGAGATTTTAGAAGAAGTATCAATGATATTATCTTTAAAACACTTAGCCATTGTAGAGTGTGTGGTACATTTGTAAATTAAAGAGAAATATGCTTTGCAACCTGAGTGGAATACATATTTTGTAATTCAGAAATTTATAAAGATAGCTATAATCCTACACCAAAACATCCTTCATTTGATGTATGGCATACCTTTTTTCCTCCCTACATTCTCTCTTTTTTTGAGTATATGATGGGTATTATTTATATAACCAAAAGCATGTTTTTAGAGCTAATGAAGAGAAAACCTTATAAAATTTAAAACTATTTCAAAATCTGGTGATGAAATTTGCCAAACCAATGAGAAAAGTAGGCCTTTCATCAAAATAAGTTTTGATCAGGGCAGTCCATTTTTCTGAATCTCTCGAAGAAATAAAAAGTCATTGTTAACAATTGATACTTTATAACAGCACATGATGGAAAAATGCTGCTTGAGAGACATGAATAAAATGTTTTGTAGGAAGATTTCTGATAGTCCTTAAGTCCTTAAGGATATTAGACATTGGAAATATATTTTCTGCATTATCTATTGAAATTTTAGGTCAAGTGTGAATTACTTGCTTAACTGTGAGCAAGGTCCTAACTGCCCTGAGGATTTCTGTTTCCATAGTATGGAAGATTTTTATCCAAATAAAAATCATGGCCCTGACTCTGGAATTGGAAGTGATAATGGAGAGAAACGATTATCTACAACGGAAGTGAGTCTTTTCTATTGCTAATAAATATTTTATTGTATAATTTTATTAGAGCTTTGAGATAGAGTCACTAGCATACATTTGGCTTTATTTTGTTTGAAACTGTGATCATTATTACATTTTAGAACTTCAAATGAAAAATTATATATTCATTTCTAAGAACAGAATAGTCAACTTTAACATTTTAACTTTTGGTTTGAAAACTGGTGAAGTAAAGCAGATATTTTATAATATGTTTAATTAAAACAATGCCTGGTTTATACTTTGTGCTTGTTCCTTTCAGCCTTCGGATGATGACACAGTCAGCCTTCACTCTCAAGTATCAGAATCAAATAGAGAGCAAACATCAAGAAATGATAGTCACACACTAGGAAGCAAGCCTGATTCTCAGAAAGGTAATTCATGTGGTGTCTATTTTTATTTCATGTACATATCTCTTTTTAAAATGGGTTTTGAAAAATTATAGTGTCTTTAACTCTAAGCACTGCAGTGTCAGAGCATTTACTAATCTATTTTGAAATACATATTAATCTATACTTAGACCAAGAGATATATGACTTTATTGACCCCAACACAGAAGATGTCACTGTTCCTGAACAAGGAGGGTCACATATGGGATCATTTGTCTCTTTGCTTAAGGTAAATAAAACTGTGAACAAGTATTGATAACATATTTTCCTTGGTCTTACAAAAATAGACCATAAAATTTAAAATAACAATTTTCTCTTATATAAGGGAAAAGAAAGATGCTCTGAGAAATCTCAGAAAAATGAAGAACTCAGAAATGAAAAAAGGTAGGCACATATGAATTTTCAAAATGAATTATTACTTATAAATATGTGAACTATTTATTACATATTCTTAATTGAAAGAGTAAATAATTTTTGTTCCTTTCTGTTAGGTTTAATTAATTTGCAAATAGTTCATTTGTCTGAATTCCTTAATTAAACCAAAAATCATAGTAAGCATTTAAGTGTAGGGATATACATTATTTTTCCTCTGAGATTTAATAATAATGTCTCTTATTTTATTACTGAGGACTATTCTTTCACATACATTGCTTCTTTTGAGCTGTTTAACAAACCTTTAAGGTAGATAGTATCGGATGGTGTAAAGAAACTGAGATCTGCAGTTTCAAATGTCTACAATTCAGGTGTTCTCTCTCTCTCTCTCTCTGCACCTAATGTACTTTGCAGTTTTTTTAGACTGTTTATGACAATTTTTCCATATTTTATTAAGATAATTGTGATAGAGATCATTTTTTATCCTCCATCATACAAAATGATGGAATATGACCTACCAGATTGTTTTCCGTCATTCCTTTTAGGTTACTGCATAACTGCAAGAAAAAAGGAAGGAAAATTTGTTGAATATCTACTGTGTACCAGGATCAGTAATGTGTGCTTTTCCATGTTTCTCATTTAACATTCACTAAAACCCTGCAGGGTTGATATTGACCCCACTTTTACAAATGAGGATGGTGAAGTTCAGACACTACATTTTTTTTAGCTAAACACTCTTAGTTAATGTCTGTTAGTACCTAGGACACAAACCAAGGTCTCTCTGATCCCCATAGTTTTTTCTCTTCATTGCATTTCATGTAAGTGACTTCATTAGTAACTTTTTCTTTCTTTTTTTTTTTTTTTTTTTTTTTTTTTTTTTTTTTTTTTTTTTTTTTTTTTTTTTTGTCGCGGAGGACAGGGTACTGGGTATTGAACTTGGAGCCTACACCCTCAAGCATGTGAAGCAGAACCTGTGCCACTGAACTACACTACTATCCTATCTTATACTCTTTAGATTTCATTCTTCTCTTAAACTTTTTCACAATATCTAGTAAGAAGAGTTGCCTAAATTTGAGTCATCAGTGTCATGGAAGATGATACAAAAATATAAAGACTCATGAGTAGATTTCTTTTATTATGATACTGGGGATCAAACTCAGGGCTCTCTACCACTGAGCTACATCTCCATTCCTTTTAAGTTTTATTTTGAGATAGGATCTCACTGTGTTGCCTAGGCAGAACTTGAACTTGCAATCCTTCTGCCTCAACCTCTCAAAGTGATTGGATTATAGGAGTGTGCTGCCATGGCCAGCAATATTGATTGTTTTTTGTTTTTGTTTTTGGTACTGGGGATCGAACTTGGGGCCCTTGCACTTGCAAGGCAGGCACCAGAACCACTGAGCTAAATCCCTGGCCTAAGCAATATTGTTTATTAAATGAAATTCTTTTGGAGGCAAAATAGCTAGAGTTTGGAGAATAGTTTATTTTTAAATTTCTTTGTTTTCTTTAAATAATACAAATGATATTTTAATTCATATTCCTGGAAAATTAAAAAATCTTACTTAAACCCATTTTTCATTTTCTTTATTTAACATTTTACATAGATTTTTAAAGTGAAAATGAACTGATAAAAGGAGCATGGTTCAATAAAATGAGAAATTTTCATAACAGTTGTTATTTATAAAAGTGGGCCATTTAGACACTCAAGGCTGGGCTATATGCATTGTTAAATTACTATGCCCATTACATTATTTCATAATTTTAAAATTGTTATATGCTTAATCATTATTTGTTAGCCACTGATTATATTAATATGATTAGTATGCCACATTTATATTGAGTAGAAAATGTACATGTGTTTTCTTTAAATATTTTTTATTTCTTATTTTGGTATTTTAAATACAAGAGATTTTAGTTTTCACATGGTGTTGAAAACAAAAATGGTTTCTGCTTCTAGAAACTGACATAAAATAGTCTTATCTTTATTTTTGGATAACCATGTTTGTATCAACTTTCAGACTTGAGAAAGAACAGTTCCTTAGAGAAGAAGATGATGATGATTTGAAGGAAGTAACTGATTTGAGGAAGATAGCTGCTCAGTTATTGAAGCAAGATGAAAAGAACAGGTATTCTTTTCAATAATAAGATTTGAATAGGCAAATTTTATGATCATTAAGTCTTTATTTAAAGATTATCAAATAAAGCATATGAAGTTTCAAGTAAACAATAGGGCCCTCTTTAGATGTGTTTCAAGAGACTACTAAAAGACAATAGAGAATACTAAGGAGTGAAATATAAAGTTCTGTGTACAGCAAAATATTTGGTGAATGTTTAAGTAAAAAATTATTACAGTAAAGGACACATTGCCCTTAATTCCCTTCAGAACACTCTTCCTTACTTTGAACACACTCCGTCATTTTTGCTGCTTTCTGAAGCAGTTCTGGAAGTCTTCTTTCATGAGTGTCTTTACAAGGTATGGCAGAAAATAAAGCGAATGTTGCTGCTGAGTGCCATCAAATGGAAACTACTATGCCTTCATCTACCTTATTCACTGTATCTGGCAAAGTATGACTTCTGGCTCTTTCCCAAACACAAATTGACCATGAAAGGTAAACAATTTGAATATTTTGAAGAGACCAAGGCAGCCATGACAGAATAACTAAAGCCACTCATAAAAGAGGATTTCCAAAGCTGCTGTAGAAAGTAGCTGCTATCAAGAAATCACACAATAACAAATGTTGGCGGGGTTGTGGGGAGAAAGGAACCCTCCTCCATTGTTGGTGGGAGTGCAGACTAGTGCAACCACTATGGAAATCAATATGGAGATACCTCAAAGAGCTTAGACTAGAGGTTCCATTTGACCCAGCCATCCCTCTGCTGGGTATCTTTCCAAGAGAACTAAAAGAATCATATCACAGAGAAGTATGTGCACCCATGTTTATAGCAGCACAGTTTGTCATAGCTAAATCTTGGAACAGCCTATTTGCCCATCCTTTGGAAACTGGATAAAGAAGTTGTGGTTTTTCTATAAAATGGAATATTACTCAGCCATAAAGAACGAGAAAATAGATTCATTCATAGGAAAATGGATACATATTGAAGATATACTCTTAAGTGAAATAAATAAGTCACACATGTGTAAATACCGAATAGTTTCCCTGGTGTAAATAATCTGCAACAATGCATAAGATTCTAATAAGATTACTGACATTTAGAAATGGAAACAAAGGAGCTAAAGGTGTAGGGAAGGTGGGATGGGTAGGGGAAATGTAAAAGGGGAAAAGAAAAAAATGTGAGAGAATGAAAAGATGAAAATAAAGTGTTAGTAGATGGGGAGGGGAGGAGGGGGTGAAGGGAGGGCAGAGGTAAGGGGAAAAAATGAGAATCAAGACTTGTCATGTAGAGGTACAAGATCCCAACAATGAATGTAACTGTACTGTATCCCTAAAATGTACCAATAAACTCAATTAAAGCTGAAAAAAAAAGTGGTAGGAAACATTAGGTAAGTGTGTTTGAAGCAAGGGGAAGTATTTTGAGGGAGATTAACTACTTAACAGTTTACCCTGAGCATCAATCCTCTCTTGGGCAATGCATTTATGTACTTACTATCCCAGGTAATGCTCCAGCAGGCCATTTCAGCCAGTTAATTCTTGTATTGAAGAAATTTGATAAAATTATCATTTTTATATTTTCTGTTGTATTATCTTATAAAATTAATGAAAAACTATGTAGTTTTTGGTTATCTTTATTTAAATAATCGGACTAGTAAGTGGTTAATGGCAGTATGTCTTTTACCATAATACATTTTTTAAAAATGTGAACATTCACTATATGCTTTGATCATACCTCATTCTGATAGAGTCACTATATATATTTAGATATTCTTTATTCCTGTGTGCTGAATATTTATTTGTTAATGTTCATTTTAACTCAGAGTAGCATTATTTAGTAAACATTTTTCCAAGTGCAAGTATATTTTGTTTCTTACCAGATTCTGAATTTTTTGGAATATGTATGAATACCTTAGAATTGAACTGAATTATATAATGGCTGATTAAATCAGTGTGATGATTTAAGAATCACAAGTTCACTTTAGTGTATTTCTGGTCAACAATTGTTTCTCCCTCTGGTTAGGCTTTCTCTGAATGCATATCATTGGCAGTGCGGAGGACATTTTGTGAATATGTATAAATCAAAGCAAGTCAATTTTTAATACAGGAAAAGTTCCATGTTCTACTCAGGGTCAGACATTTTTGCCATTTGCCTGTACTGGGAGTATTAAATTTATAATTTTGAAATAATAAAGATTTGAGGGTTTTTGTTGTTCTTGAGAAAATTAAAAGAATAATTTTGGTATATTTAACATAGGTAAGTAATAAATATTTTACTTTACCTATTCATAAAAATGCTATAGGATAATATGACCACACTTTCGGAAATCTCAAATTTAATATATATTGGCATTTGTTTAAATATGCTTTCAAAAATATAAAAACATATGAAATGAAAATTTGTGTGTGTGGTACTGTGGATTGGACTCAGGGCCTTCACAATGAGCTGCAAGCCCAGCTCTTCTCTGTTTTTTTATTTTGAGGCAGGATCTCCCTAAGTTGTTCAGTTGCCCACATTGAGCTTGAATTTGGACTCCTGACACCTGGAAAGTTCTGTGTTTTCAGGGGCTCTTTTTTAGAGAAAATCTGGATAATGGCTAATAAGATAAATAACCATTAAGCTAAGCATCTTTTTTGCACAATGTGAAGATTTTTAAAAATTATATTAGAAAGTACTGGTCTTTATCCCTTGTATATGTAACGAAGCCTCATTCCTATCTTAGCTCTGTCAATCTTTTTTATGATATTTATTTTCTAATTTTTTCTAGTGATTCATTTCTAATAGACCTTTAAAAGATATTTGGCAATTTATGAGGTCATATATGTTTCACTCTGCCTCCAGTGTAATGTGTTTCTAAAAACAACTTCTACTAGTGTATGTTTGTGCAATATAGTGACTATATTAATCATGGGATATTGGTATATATGCATATTGCATTGAGCCTTTTGTTGTTTAGGAAATTTGATGAAGCATATCACCACCTGTTACATTAAATTTAAACAATAATTGAGTTTCTATCTCAGAAACTGCAGGAGAAACTGTTGTATTTATCATTATGGGAAGAGAGTGTTGTTGTTTTTCTTTCCTACAGTGCTGGAAATTGAACTCAGGGCCTTGAACATGTTAGAAAAATGCTCAATTGCTGGATAACAACTGTAACTCCTTGATTTCTTTTTTAAAGAACCCACAGTATTATCCATTTTTTTCACAGTGCTAACAAAAGCATTTTAGTGCATAGGGTCAGATTTTTAACATTGCTATATATAATATTTCTATATTTTACATTACTGCTATCATGTTAGATTTTCATTTATCCATGTGACATTATTCTTTCTAGCCTAGGTACAGCATCAACTGAATAGTTATGCTTCATAGATTTTGTTTGTGATAGTTTTATAATCAGTGTGAAACAGCACCCAGCATTGCACATGGTAGGTACTCAGTTATACTGTTATTAGCTAATTAAGTTCTTGAAAGTTAAATCAAATTTAGAGCCAATTGGAGCTATTAATTTAATTAAAAATATAGTCTACCTAAATAACTTCTGCTGTTCTTCAAGATGTATGCAAAAGTAATTTCTGTCTTTGTCTAATCCTCTGCTTCATCTTCTTTTTAGATGTGAGCACATATTAACATAAGAACTTAAAAAATAGTAATATACAATGACCAATGTCATGATAATGTCTAATTTTTGAAGGCATTAAAATATTTACAATTATCTGGTCATAAAGAACAAATTTTACTTTACATTTAATTTTATATTAGATTTTTACTCAGTTCTATTAATGACTGAACTTAAACTAGATCTCAGATTTATTTTTAATCTGGGGATTGAACCCAAGGGTGCTCTACCGCTTAGCTGCATCCCTAGACCATTTTTTAAAAAATTTTGAGACAGGATTCCTAGGCTGGCATAGAATTTGCCATTCTAGTGCCTCAGCCCCCAGAGTTGGTAAAATTGCAAGTGTGCACCACTGTGTCCAACTGGATATCACAATTTTTTAATGCTGAATGTAGTATTTTTTCCATTAATTGATCTTTCTTCCCTTTAAAATGTATAACTATTAGCCGGGCATGGTGGTGCATGCCTGTAATCCCAGCATTTGGGAGGCTGAGGCAGGAGGATCTCTGTGAGTTCGAGACCAGCCTGGGCTACATAGTGAGTTCCAGGTCAGTCTCAACTACATAGTGAAACCCTCTCTCAAAAAAAAAAAGTATAACTATTGCTCAAACCCTTAGATATAATAATTAACATTTTTAGTTTATTGTCATAATACTTGAATTTGAATGATACCCCAAAAATCTAACAGTAATCCTACATAAGGATTACATATAATCCTATGTATCCTTCAGTGGATTTGATATAATTTATACATCTCTAGTTGTAGTTTTTTTCTTGTCAGTGTATTATTTTGTTTTATATTCCAACTTTATTAATGAAGGCTCTGAAATGCCACTTAGTATATGAGTTGCTGAAAGGAGCACTGAAATGCTATTTGAAATTATAGGCCAGGAAATATAACTACTTCTGGGTTTTAACACAATCATTGTTTTTTGTTAGTCTTGATTAAAATAATTTATTTGGGCACAGTGGCACTGCGCCTGCCTTGCAAGCTCAAGGTCCTGAGTTGGAGCGTTGGTACCAAAAAAACAATTATTTGGAATAAGGTTACCCTAGCAAATGAGGAAATACCCCCCAAGACTGCTGCTTTGTATACTAAAGGTTCTTTAGCTTGGTACTGGTTGAAAGTATATGCAATGTTCACTCTAAGCTAAAAGGAGCCATGTATAGTCTCCAAAACTAGAGATAACCTTTTATGTTGAGTTCAGTGATGTTTTTTTATAGCAGTTTCACACTTGGTTAGTTCATACTATTTTAAAAAATACCTTGAGTCTCGAAGAAAGTTTGTATCACTATTTGATGACTAAAACTATTCTAGAAAAGTAACAAGAGTCAATGCATGGAATTAATAAAGAAGGATGGAAAAGGGATCAACAAATGAACCATTAGGTA